GCGTATAAAACTTGGCAAAAATGACAAGATCTAGGCATAATGATAGAATCCCAAAGTATCGTTTGATTTTGATTTCATAAACCGAGGGATCTGAGAGTGAAACAAGGACCAAGGGTAATTCCAGACGTAAGGTAGAGGGATTTACACGTGGATCTAATTAAACATTCCTAATACATACATTCAGCAAGAAGTGAAGGTAAGCCTGAAGTATTGTAACAGGCTTGTTTATAAGTTATGTGTGCGAAAGCATTCATTTTATAATAATGTAGGGCATTATTGCGATAAATTATATACCCATCCCTATACTATGTATATATATATATATATATAACTTCATCTTAGGCTTCAGACACTATCTCCTGTCTAAAAATAGATGATTAAAGCAGTGCGAAAAACTCTAATTTTCAATGAATTTTGCCAACGGCTGAAGGGATTGGATAAAGAATAGTATATATGTATATACATTTTTCCTTTTGCCACGGTTACCGCAGTTCGAAGCACTTTTGCTCTTTTTTCGATGTTTAACTTGAAATAAATTAAGTACTAACCCTAATTAATACTGTAGAACATAAAGTTTTGTTTTCTGGTGGTGCGTAGTAATCACCCTGACCCACATGTTCTGATTCTCACGTTATGTATATTAGATATGAAAAAGGGCAGGTGTAACTCATCAAACATGCCTAGCGAGAAAACGTGCTTATACATTTTCCACTAAACAGATCTAGTGACTAGGCATTTAAAGGCGTTTCCCTGCAACGAGACTTAGTGACTGAAGGGGATCGAACAATTGATTATGCTGACAACAAGCACACCTGACAATTTCCACGGAGCTGATCTAGCATTTTGCAATAGCTTGATTGTTCTCATTAAGCAGATCTAGTGACTTGTCATCTCCCATCAAGCAGACATCGCGATTTCCACCGATTTGGCCTAATATACTACTAGTTATATCTTTGCAGTTCCCACAAGGCGGAGATATGGTTTTGTTATGTTTGGGTACTTTCTGACAAGCAAATCTGAATATATATCACTCAGTGACATCGATTAGGTATATCTTGATCGCTTTCCACCAAATACTTGTGCATATCTTTGGAATTTCTAATAACTTGACCTCCAATGATCTGATACATCTTAACTTATGGTTTTCATTAAACAGAACTGTGACGGTTTGGTAAACGTTGTTCGTTTGGTTGCCTATGTATATTCTTAAACTTTGATGTAACTTACATACCGTCCAGAGACGTACATCGGACAATCTAAACGTTACAATATGCCTTACGTCATATTACTTTGTTTTATTGCGGACATTAGGACTTGGCCTTAAAATGTGTCCGTTGTAGAATAAACACGTTTAAAGGAAAATAAGTTTTATATTTTATTGTTTAATCCTTGAGTGGCTGAGAAAAATATGACCGAAGATTAAATAAAAATCTACAATATTCAGTGAAGAAAGTATTTGATTAAATCCTTTTATTCTTATACAAAAACCTTTGGTTGCTTTTCTTGCACCCAAGAATCTCTTTACTCTTAGTGTAAAAGTCTTCACTATTCGTTTCTTTATCAGATATATGTTTTATTTCAAGTCAGCTTTATTACTTTTAAATGAGCTCAAAGTAATGAAATTAAGTGTTTAAAAGTAAAGAAATTGAAAATATGCTTTATTATAAAAGTCTGTAAACTAAAGATATTTATACTAAAGACGTATCTGAAAAATTGTCACCAACCTTGCCAAAAAACAGCGGCGATAAAATGAACTTCATTAACACACAAAAATGCTTTATACTTACAACAAATCGACTTTAGTCCAAAAGTGTGACTGCAACTTTGCTCGAGATTCGTTAAAAACCCATGTTTTGCACATTACAAGTATATGAAGCTTTAATCTTAGTCATTTTGCACATAATAAAGCCATTAATCTTAATCCTTCTTTATATTTGTGATATTTTCAATTCTCTAAGAAATTATGCATTTATTTAAAAGGTTATTTACAATTGATTGATGATAATGTTGTGCTTACATTTGCTTAAACACTACTAAAACTCAATTTTTAAAAGACAACATTGGGATTTATTATTATAGCTCACAGATAATTCAACAACATAACCCATTATTTTTTACTTTAATTCATTACTTGTAACTGTGTTCGTTTCTATTGATATAAATTTCTGTCATCATAGTAAAAATGATGTCAAATGAATATGCAGCTCCGTCTCTATTACATTTAAAATGTGCATTTTTTAAAGAAAAAAAACAGAATTTCGGAAAAAAAGATATAGTATTAAGCTTTAAGTTACTTAACCTCTGATTAAGGATATAATATTATTATTCTTAGAAAACAAACCATTATATGTTTTAATTATGTTATATATGTTGGTAATGGAAAAAGAAATTCGTTTTAACTTAGCAGAAGCTGCGTTAGTTGACAAACTTTTTTTATATTAATAAGTTAAATTTACACAGTTGTGATACGTTATAATGAAGTGTCACTAACAACTGCTTTGTTTAAATATGACGACTCAGACCTACTTACGTACGTGCTGATGTACATCAGCTGACTTAACTTTCGTCGTTGTGTCATATCCCATGGTAAAGCTCGTTCACAGACGAATAATGGTGGAATAAACGTTTTTAAAAGGTTTAAAAAGTAACAACATGAACATTTACCTCTACCAAGGATTTTTGACATAAAATACGTGAATGCTATTTTAAGAGGAATGAATTTCTAAAGATTAAAACAAGATATCTGGAATAATCTTAAAAAATAAAGTAACTTCTCTAACTTAGAAGTATTTTTAGTACGTACT